CTTAAGAAATGGTGTGTGTGTGTGTTGAATGAAACAGTGCCGATTTAGTTTACTTTGAAATGTAGAGGTCCCGTGCATAAAAAAACTTATGGATAAGCGGTTGGCGCTAGCTGTTGTATAATGAAGACTTAGGGGAAAATAATTACCAAAACCAAATCAACAAATGAGTATTGCACACATTACCTGCACCACACCAAAACATGAGGCACGGGGCCTGGGAGCAGACTGAAGAAGTAGAAAGTGTAACGAATAATCTCAGTAACGGTCCAGGCAAACAGCCACAGTGCTACTTGAATGCCATATTGTGCCTAAGAAAATACAGAATTAATAAACAAAAGATGAAGTATGTTGTTTTTTTGTCTAAAAAAAAAGTTATTTCTTATACTGGTACAAACAGTCATATATTAGACTTGTCAAATCTATAATTATAAATGTATTCACCTCATTTCAGGATCTTGACGTTATTATAAGTATTTAAAGCTTCTAAATCATTTACAGGCAGTTGATGATGGAAATGTATAAATTGTCTAAATAGCAAACATCCTATTTGACTCACTGCTGGGACACTTCACCCAACCCCCATGCAAGTCAATAAATTGTCTAAATAGCCAACATCCTATTTGACTTACTGCTGGGACACTCCACACAACTCCCCAAACAAGAAAGACCCGAGAGTAAACTTGAAACGCTGTCAGAATCCAGTTGGAGCGTACCAGCCCCGTCTTGCTGTGCACTATCTGAAACATTATTCAATACACTTACATATTCATTCATTTTACTCAGTATAAAAGTTTGAACCAGCGATTCTATCTTGAAGCCTGCAGTATGATTAAATGCTTTAGTTATGGGCACAGTTGAAAAGCTAGTTACCATGAATCCCTGTAACTCTCTCTACAAGCGTAATTCAGGTTTACCAAATTTTTACAGGAGACGCTAAATATCTAATAACTTTAAAGCAAAATAATGGAACAAACTTATACTACTTATAGAACATTTCCTCTCATCCACATTTTAAATGTTTACGGGATGAGGGAAATCTCTAGAATTAATAAATTTGAAGTAAAAAAAAAAAAAAAAAAAAAAAAAATTTCCTCTCATCCACATTTTAAATGTTTACGGGATGAGGGAAATCTCTAGAATTAATAAATTTGAAGTAAAAAAAAAAAAAAAAAAAGAAAAAGGAATTTCATATTTAGAGAATTACAAAGAGGATAATTGCTTGCTTAATTTAAAACATAAAGTTTCAGTAAATATCCAGGTTATCTATCAGCTTGAATGATCACGATCTGTAATGATCACCTCCTTTAATGATGACATCTTTTTAATATTGACCTTCTTTACCTCAAGTATGGCTGCAGTTTGGCATATATGTAGAATGCCTGAAACTTCTCTGTAAAGCAGTGCCAATGAATGATTGCTCAAGACATGACTTATCATAATAATCAAGATTACTGACCACCTGCGAAAAGAAACAAGAACGGCAATGGATATTCTAGGTTAACAAGGGAGAATACTGTTATCAGGTAAAGTAAAATGAAATAAGTTTTACAAAATTAGGGGAAAACCTGAAAAAACAACAACTTTCAAACACCAGACTTATCAGATGGGATGCTATTACTATTGTAATCATATACAAAAATTAAAATAAAATTAGTTTTTACAACACAAAACATTGGATAGAATACATAATTAACATTTTAGGACATAATTATACAAATATATACATAGTTACATAGGCATCGGCCTATATAGTGCAGCAGGGACATACAAGTTACACTCTAAACATCCGAGTCTAATATTACTTAAAAGGAAGTGTAAACAGGAAGCTACATCTACCATGGTGGAGATGGATATTGACAAATTCAAATATTTTGCTACATAGTTACAAAGTATTGCCATGGTCATGTCTAAATAAGATGTATTAAAAACTAATAATTTAGTAAATGATTGGAATTTACTTATATAAATGAAATGTCTAGCTACTTTGTAATTGTTGCAATTTGTAATTATCTACAGTTTTTTGGAATCTTCCATTGAAGAAATATGACTTATTTCACTAGTACTAATTAATCTCTGAATCAGTTCAGTTCACTGAATACTACTACTACTACTACTACATTTCATTATTTTCATTTCATTTAAGGCCGGCACTACGTACACCGCGGCGGTGTACCTAGTGAAACTATTGACTTTGGCCTGCGTACACCGCGGCGGTGTACCTAGCTAAATCATGGTCTGTGGCCTGCGTACACCGCAGCGATTTAAAGTAGCAAAACTATGGTCTTTGCGAGTCTTTAACTTTTTTGGCCTAACCAGTACTTGTAGATTTAATGTTATACTAGTGTTAAAACTGAAAACTATTTATTTAAAATTCATTTATTACCTTGGGAAGATATTGAGTAAGTTCCACGCTTGTGTGGCAAAGTGCATGTAAAGCATTTCTTCTTATTTTTGGAAGGGAGGGGGCTGGGGGTGTAATGTTAAACCATGATTTATTTTTAAAGTTAACCACTTTATTCCCCCTCCCCCAATATATTGAAATACAAATATATTTATTAATTGTAAGTTTTATCATATGATTGTGAATCTTAATTTAAAATTATTCTCTCATGCCCACCCCCC